GAAATCTCTCTGCTTTCAAAAGGCTCATGTGAGCCCACTCTGATAACCCAGGATAATCTCTCATGTAATCTTAATCACTTCTGCAAAGTCCCTTTTGCCATATAAAGTAATATTTTCACAGGTTCCAGGATTTACAGTGTAAGCATTATTTCTGGGAGCTGGAGTAAGGAGGGTGGACCAGGGAACTGGCCTTTTTTTTTTATGATAAACATTTAAAATTAAGTACATGTTTTACTTGGTTGAACCAAAACCAGCAAGTTAAACTCAATGACCAAATTTGCAGGAATTGAAATTTAATTGCTTTCTAGGTGATGTATCAAATGCAGTTTTTAATAAGCAATCTCTCTATATATATTTTTAAGATTTTTATTTACTTGTTCATACAGAACTGGGGTACAGGCCAGAGATGTAGAGGGTGAGAGGATTCACCAGGGACAGAGTGGGGAGCAGAACAGGCAGATCGACGAAGTACACTGCTGAGGGGAGCAGCGGGCAGGTCAGGAAAGGTCTGCCGCGCCATGTGGATCTCCTCCGGGGCAGGCGGGAATCGAACTCATGCGGAAGTGGCTTTAGCTTCTCAGTGCTGTGCTTTAACCCGCTGCGCCACCAGGGAGGGCCAGCAATCTATATATTTTTAAAGATTTATTTATTTATTTATTCATATGGAACCGGGGTACAGGCCAGAGATGTGGAGGGTGAGAGGATTCACCAGAGACAGAAAGGGGAACAGAACAGGCAGACTGACAAAGTACACCGCTGAGGGGAGCAGCGGGGCGGGTCAGGAGAGGTCTGCCATGCCATGTGGATCTCCTCCGGGGAAGGCGGGAATCAAACTCATGCGGAAGTGGCTTTAGCTTCTTAGTGCTGTGTTTTAACCCGCTGCGCCACCAGGGAGGGCCTCTGACATAGTTTTTAACTATATTAAATTGTTCTTTGTTGCTCAATTATGGTTTAATATGGAATTCAACAAAAAAGAAATGAGACATATATGTGTATATGTGTGTGTGTGTCTTGTGTGTGTATATTATAAGCAATCTATATTATACAACGCCCAATTTTGTGTTTCTAGGGACAATGACTTACAATCTGCAAAACATGTTAAGAAATGTTAGGCATGACCATGACTGAATCCTTGTGAAAATTCTAATTTTGATGGAACACAGGGTTTATCAAATGTATCTTTTCCTTTGTTCTTTCCATTGCATTAAAGAGCCTACTCCTCTGGCTATTTACATTGTTTCTTGATCTGTAAAAACAAGTCATCTCAGCTTTTTTTGAATGGAATGCCAGAGTTAGGACAGTTAATCTAGTCCAAGCTCCTCATTTTACCAATGAGGACTCTGATGCACAGAGAAGGTCCATGGTTGTCAATATTTGTAGCAGTTTACTGTCACCGTTATGAATCTTAAATGGGATGATACGTCACAAAATCTAATATCACTTTATTGAGGGAGCAACAGACATAGACAGGGAGAGATACCTGCCTAAGCTTCTAATGGAGCTTTGCTTCCCTGGTGCAAAGTAGCCCCCCCCATTTATCTACCTGATGCTGACCCAAATCTTAGCCACTTCTAAATTCCTAGTATCTAGCACATTGCCTAGCACACAGATCAATTAATGCAGAGATGAATCTTAAGGCATTGTAAAAAGCTCACTTTTCAACTAAGGGATTGAAATTCTCAGTCTTCCAGTTGATAAGCAATAAAAAAATAATTTTAAATGAGATGATTCTTGTTTAGGTATTATACAGGCTTTCAAGTCAGGCACACTTATGTGTGATCTTGCACACATAACTCAATCATTTTATGTTTCTACATCTGTAAAATGAAAATAATAATACAACCTATCTATGGGATTCACATGGGAATGTAGTGAAATGATAACATGTTTTTGGGAGTGACCAAGTGCGGAGATTTACTGAAGGACTGGATAAGGGCAGTAATAATCAGGCCTTGCATCCAAGGGTGATAAGGCGGTAATAACCTGGGCCTTGCATCCAATTAACGGGGCCTTGCATCTGATGGGACTAGATGAAGGTGATAATGAACTGGGCCTTACATCAAGGGACATGGCGATGAGTCACCGCTTTGGAATTTGAGTTTAGAATCTATATAAGAGACCCTTCTCCCCATAGGGCTGGCAGTAGCTGCGGACCCCAGTCAGGGGCCCCGTCTCAGCTGCTGTCCCGGAGCAATAAACTCTGCTTGCTCAGCCCTTCTGCCTCCCGCCTTTCTTTCTTGTGGCTAGTCACTGAAGTTAGGACAAAACACAAGTAACTTGGCATATAGCGGCCACTCAGTAACTATTCATTTTCTGTTCTGATAGTCTACCTAACAAATGCTGGGAACTAGCAGTGAAATATTTTTTCTGTTGCTAATGGTAAAACTACAGATGTGATTATTACAAAAGACAGTTGAAAGCCAAACATCTTTCAGAAAGAAATTATCTTGGGGATTGTTGTCAAAAATGTCTAGCATATCCAAATCCTCCCTTATTCAAAGTAAAAACATACCAAAATTTAGCTATAGTAGCTACATAAATTTTTTTGCCCATTCTGATCATTAGAATTGAAAAAAATGTCTGAAATAAATGTTCTTGTTCCCTTTTTTCTTCTAAAATGACTGACTTAACTCACATAATATACTTCTTACATGAGCATGAAGTTGTGCTTGTAAAAAAAACAGAATTTCATGGAAATGGCAAAACAGTAATATTTTTCTGGAAAGCAAGTGTGCTTAGATCATGCTGGCTCCTCTCTAAGATGAGGTGAACATTTTTGTTACCACAGGAATTTGTTTCACTTAGCTCTCATACAGATAGACAACCGCCTCTGTTTAGTGTTTTTGGTCCTCATACTCAATGTTAATGTATCAAATATAGTTGTTATATGAGTCCTCATTTTATAGATGAGGACTCTGATGTTTTACACACCAAGTGCCAGTGTATTAAGCTTCCTATTTAAAAGTAAAACAAACTATACTTAATAGATGGGGTTTTGAGAACTCTTGCATCAGTCTAGATTGTGACAAAAGTAATATAATGAAGATCAAAACCCCCTACCCCCCACCCCGGTTTGTTTGTTTGTTTTTTAGATTTAATTTATTTATGCATACAAGAGCTGAGGTGAAGGCTAGAGGTAGGGGGTGTGGTCAGTGAATTCACCAGGACAGAGTGGGGAGCATATTAGGTTAATCTACTGAAACACACTACTGAAGGAAGCAGCAGGCAAGGCAGGAGAGGTCTGCTGTGCCATCTGGGTCAGCTCCCTGGCCAGGGATCAAACTCAGGCCTAGTGTCTGGCATTAGCTTGATAGTGGTGAGAATTTAACACTTGCATCATGAGGGAGGCCTCCACACCCTAGGGTTTGGATCCTGAAAAAGATTCAGGGAAATTAGCAAATGTGGTCTTTCTCATGGTTTTCAAATTTTCCTGTAGTTATAGAAAATATAAAACCATAACACTCTTAAGGGGAGAGATACTGGAGGCTGATCTCTTGGGGTCAGATCTAACCTGGTGATATGATTAATGTATAACCAGTTTCCCCCAACATCTATCCCAGGACAATCTCCATTTACTGTGTTCTATCTTAACCTTAATCTTAGAAAGGACCACTTTCTGAATTTCTGTTGTTATAACTAATTTATCAAATACATAGGTCCCTTTAGTTACTACTTACAAAGGTTGTGCTAATATTCAAACCAATTACATGCCATTGCCAGAAAACATAGCTATACTGAGAACAGAAGGGAAACGAGTGAGAAACAAAATAAAATAGCTATTTAGGAAATTGCTCACAATAGCTATTCTCTTAACTCCAAGTTTCTCCCTCCCACCCTCTCTTTACAACACGTGTTTTTCCCCAAAATAAGGCCAAAGGAAAACATTTGGGTGACATACAAAAAGACAATATTTATTTTATTCAAGCTTTTTTATAAGAAGTTAAACAAAATAATCCTTAGTTAGAGACATTATTACCAAAAATGTTATTGACATGTTCCATGAATCCCTTCAGTGCCCAGAAGAAGTTATCTGAATACAGAGAAATGACCACACTTACAGTGGGTTTACTTAAGTATGTGGGGTGGAGGGACAAATCTATGTAGGTTAGATATAAAATAGTAAATAAACACAGTAGTTTCCTACAGGTAAACAGGAGACCCACGGGTGTATTAAAGTATATCAAAGGGTTCCCAAGACCTGTAGATCACTTCTCAGCAATTATAAAACAGCCACAGATACCCTCATAATTCACTGCCCCCTTTTATCTCAACAATTTTACTGCTAAAAGCGGAAGATGAACACAAGATACAATTTCCCCATCTCCTGGCTGTGTGACTATCAGCCTGGATGGTTGTTTGGGAAATGGAATACCAAAGTCCCCCCCCCACACACACACATTGCAACTTAAATAGGTTAACACTAGAAATGGCCTTGGGTGAGGCATTTAGGTGTTTTGTTTCTCTGCATTACAAAAGACCTGGTTAGGAAGTAATATTCCCACTAAGGGAAACCAAATGTTCTTTCTAGCAAACAGTAGAACAAAGTGGAAAACCCACTAAGCCTGACTCTAGTCTCAGTGTGCCCTCAAAAATTAAAGCACAAAGAAACACCTTTACACCTAGCATTGCCACACCCCCATTTCCTCACAAAAGCCAGAGTGCAGTGCTCCCCAGCAGTGGTACATGCAGGTCACCATTTTTTCCCAACCTGTAGAGAGTGGGGACCTCTGATCTCCATCCCATCGAGAGCACAAATTGTGAGTAGCTTCATTTTATTAATGCAAAAGGGTGAAAATGTTTGGAGAATTTGTAATATAAAGTTCTCCATTTCCTACCAGTATTCTGAGTCTGTGTGTGTATAAGGAAATATTGGGAGAGGCTTTTCCTTTTCATACTTTCTTAAATTTGGAGCAAGCAGGAGGGAAAATATATATATATATATATATATATATATACACACACACACACACACACACGTATGTATGTATGGAGATATATATGTATATATACACATACATGGATATGCATATCCATGCATAACATATACATAGCTAGGTTGTATAATTGCATAAAAATAGAGCCTTAACATATGCAGGAAATAAAAAATTATGCCAACACTGGAGCCTTGGATGCTGCCTTTAATGCAAATAGGAAACCTACTAATAACCTTTTGTGGACTAGGCTGCTGCTGACTCAGTGTGACCTGTGTCCCTGAATGTAGCTCCAATGAAGCATGAAGAGACAGCACAGCATCTGAGTAAGAATGCTACCTGTGGATAACCCGGGACCTGAGCCTTCTGGCTAGCCGTTCAGAGCAAAGCCAAAGAGCCAAAGGACGGATACCATCCTAGCTCCGCATGGACAACCAGTTTGATGCTTCTGCCCAGAGTGAACAACAATGGATGATACCACCTCCTCCAGAAGCTGTGGAAGACTGGGTGCTGCTGGCAGTTCAGCCCACCTTTCAGGAAACCTGAGCTAGGTTGAGGGGGCTGACGTGCAAAGAGCTTTGGATAGTGACACCTAAAACCTAGGAGTGAGCCACACTAGATCTTCGTGACTGTGCCATTTGCCTTCTCTCCCAGTTCTGCTTCCAGAATCCTTCCAGAGTGTGTTTCTAAGAGCAACAGACAAAGAATAAGTCTCCAGGGGCGGTTACATTTCAGGATATGGTTGTGAACTTCACCTGGGAAGAATGGTGAGACCTGTATGATGCTAGTTAGACCCTGTATAGGGATGTGATGCTGGAGACCTCCATAACTAGGAGTCACGACATACTGTCAAACCAGAGGGGAGGCAAGGAGCAGAGCCACGGATGGTGGAAGAACCTTCAAAAAGAGCCTCACAGATGTTCTGACTGAGATGCTGATGACCTGATTGGAACCAACGAGAAAATAAGGGCAGATATTTGTGAAAGTTAAACATCAACTAATGACAAAACTGATTTTGGAAAAACATTTTGTTTAACCTCAAACCATATTCTGAAACTTATTTTAAATAATGGGAATTATTTAAGAGAGATGCCTGAGAACTTTAACATATGTAAAAATGTGTTACAGAAAACAAAGAACTGTAGGGTTCAATACTATAAAGAAAAAAATAAAGATAGAACTTTTCTTTTTTCTCCTCAAGCAAATCAAAAAAAGTTCTAGACGAAGATAATACTTCCTTTCTGTTTGGAAAATGCGTAGAAAAATCTGTAAAAGCCAACAATTTTCAAGCAAATGCAGACTCATCCAGAAGTTATAAAATATGCAAGAATTAGTTATTGTTTCTCAGTCTATTCACACTTTTCCTGAGATGCAAATTACCCCCTGCTCTTCTAGGTGTTCTAAGCAGATTTCTATTTATTCTATTATCTAATGAAAGGTGAAAAGCTACAGTGCACTGTAAAAGGTGAAGGGGGTAGGGAATGGAGAAATGTGTGGGTACTGGGGAGTTGAAAGGTCTAAAAACATGACCCAAGGGAAGATAACGAAAATGGTAAGAACTGAGGAGTCCCAACTAGATTTCAATCCTTTTGAAAGCAACCTCACCTCACACTTGGGGCCCAGCACAATCTAGACACATAGTAAGTACTTGATTTGAGGAACAGAGGCTGAAGAAAAGAGATTAGAGACTATGTCCTTCCAGCTCTAACGCCTGATGAGCCATTCTCTGAGAAAAGCCAGCAGTGGCCTTGGATGGTCCAGATGAGGAAGAAGCTGCCTGTTGTTTCTGTAGCCATCACCATCAGAGGCGCCTTTCAAAGTAGAGGGAAACACTGCTGAGAGGGATGATGACTCTAAATTGTTAAGAATTTTAACAGCCACAGACTTCGCTCGATGGGACCCCAAACAACAGATGACAGTTTGCTAGATGTTTTCTGTGACTCAAGGTTCATGTGAAGCATTGGCACCCAGAATTAATTCCTCCATGAAGTAAATTTGTTCGCATATTCTGACACAAAGAATACAAAGCAGGCATAGACCTTCAGGAAACTGTCACGACTCTTGACAAGAGTAACTTTACTGCCATCATCATTTTTTGCTTTGTCCTCTAGTTTGAGCTTAGGCAAGTCTCGTCTGCTTTTATAATTCAAAGGGAATATAAGTCAGCTCTCTTCTCCAAAGGGCCCATTATGTTTCTCGCACTCAACTTAAAGATACGGGGCTCTTAAGAGCTGCCTATTTTAAATGGTCCAGTAGTTTCAGTTTCCATTTAACCAATTGCCAGATAACAAATGGAGAATGGGATGAATCTCTAGAAGGTCACATTGAAGGTTAAAATAAATTATCCCCATCACTGAGAGGCTCTCTTCAAGTTTTCTATCAGCACTACTGAGTCAGTCTCTTCTTTGGTTTGCTTCTCATAGATATCATACTTCTTCCAGTGCTGGAAGGGAAGAAAAACCACAAACATTGTTAATGTTTCTGAGTACCCAGAGTCAATATGTATTTTTAGGTTTGGGGGGGTGGAACCATGAGAGTATGGGATATGTTTTCCTGTTACGTTTTGTGGGGCTTTTTTTGGTCTTTGTCTTTTTCTTTTATATTGACCTAAGAATCATCATTTATTTGAAAATTTAGTGAAACAAAACAATCAGAAATTAACATTAAGGAGGGGAATGCATCAGATTTTTTAATTATAATAGTTTACTTTCCCATCATTTTGTGCTGTTTTCCATCTCAGTGGTAATCCCAGTGGGCTTTCCATCAACAATTCACCTGAGTGCCATCACCATAGTCCCGTGCACTCTCCCACCCCCATTTTTGATCCCATTCCCCAATCCATCCCCATAAAATGTCTCTGGTATATAGTTGTTCATTATTATTATTTTTCCCCCCAGTCCTTTATGCTCCTGCTATGAGTGAAACAATCCGGTATTTTTCTTTTTCTTTCTGACTTATTTCACTAAGCATGATCCCTTCCAGCTCCATCTAAGCATGAGATTTTATATGATGTTCAGTGGCTATCTCAAGAGATAAACACATTGGGACACCTCCAAAATTGGAATCGAAGACTTTTGAAGAAGAAGAAAAAAAAGTTGGCATGTTTCTCGAGCTTCAGCAGTTTCTATCTCTATTTCCTTACCATTAAAATGTCACCATTGCTCCAGAGATGTAGACTCAAAAAGTCTACTAGCATCCAGGTAGAATGGCAATATATAAAAAATCTAAAAGTCTTAATGCAGTTCAAGTTTTGAAGACCCTGTATTAATAGCTTCTTGTAATATCATTTGCTAGAACCAGGAATTATGTGTAAGGTAAGCACATCTTGAATTTAAGTGCACCTACTCATAAATCAAGGGAAAGAGTGGAATCTGAGCTGTGTCTCCTCATCTGTAAAATAAAAAGAGTAGGCTACACCAGGAATCAGCAAATGATGGCCTAAAGACCAAATCCAGCAAGCTGCTTGCTTTTATAAAGTTTTATTGTCACATAGCCATACCCATTTGTTTCTATATTGTTTACTGGTGTTTCAATGCTGCAACAAGCAGAGCTAAATTGCTTTGGTGGAAGCCCAGAAGCTTGCTAAGTCAACAGTATTTACTATCTAGCCCTTTGCAAAACAATGTATGCCGACCTCTGCACTAGATTATTTCAAAACTCCTTATCTCCTCTAATGGTTTATGGTTCCACAAGCATAGAAAGGGCAGCAAGAAGAAGAAAAACAAACAAGAACAGTGGCGAATCAGCTGCTTCAGGTTGCGCACTAGGGGAGGGCCTAAGAAAGTCAGGAGCAGCTGGCCTTAGAGAGGTGTGGAGGGATGAGCTGGGAAACACTGCTTAAAATTTGCAAATTATGCTAAGTTATTTAACCATGATATTCCTAGTAGAATGGTTAAAATAGGAAACACTGGCAATTCCAAGGACTGCCAAGGATGTGGAATAACCAGACTAAGGGAAAAGGGCCTGGGAGTTTCTTATCAAACAACACATACACTCACCACATGACCCAGAAATGCCACTCCCATGTATTTTCCCAAGGGAATGGAAAACAGTCAGAAAAAAGTATGTAACCTTGAAATAAAAGCTTTATTCAGTAACTGGCACTAGAACGACTGGCTAATAAGCACTTGGAAAATAAAAGTTAGACTCTATCTCACAGCCTCGATGGTTAAATTCCCCATGGATTAAAGACCTCACTGTCAAAAGACAGAATAAAAAATGTACTGGGCAAGTTATAGAAATCCAAGATAAGAGGGTTTTCTACACACAGAAAACAGGGGAAGATTTGACAACAGAAAAAAGAAGAAAAAATTACACATTATTTATCACCCTGAGAGCAATACAAAGCAAACATAGATGACAATCCAAAAGATTAATAAAAACAATTTTATAAACCATGAAAGAAATGATAAATACTGGAGGTGAAAACTGGACAATAAACAAGAATTTCACAAAAGAATCAACCAATGAACCAATGAACATATAAAAAAAATCTAAAAACTGATACATAAAATTCAAACAGGATGACCTTTTCTCATCTATCAAATTGACAAATTCTTTTTAAAAAACAGACACATTCACATTGGCAAAATCATGGCAAAACAATCATTCAGACTTTCTACTGGCAGGTGGAGAGAAGCTGATACAACCTATGCTTCTCAAGACAATGAAAGCGTGCATATTCCAAAGCCCCACTTTATTAATCTGACAGAATCAGGTTCTACGTGAGAAACCAGTGTGCTTAATTTAACAGCATATACATTTTTAAAAGATTTATTTATTTATGCATACAAAACTGGGGTACAGGCCAGCGGTACAGGAACCATGAGAGGATTCACCAGAGACACGAGTGGGGAGCAGAACAGGAAGAGGGAGTGAGTACACTGCTGAAGGGAGCAGCAGGCGGGTCAGGAGAGGTCTGCCGCGCCATGTGGGTCACCTCCAGGACCAAGTATCGAACTAACACGGAAGCAGCTGACTCACACTGAAGCAGCTGTGGTTCGCTTGCAGTGCTCTGTCCTAACCCACTGCGCCACCAGGGAAGGCCAACAGCATATACATTTTTATAATCAGTAAAACAGAGCTACCTCATTTTCTTTAACTTCTGCAAAATATTTCATTGCATAGACATATCATAACTTATTTAACCTGTAATCCATTAGTAGATCTTTAACCTGTATATCCTTTCTGAATGCCAATTTGTCTATAGCAATCAAAGTGTTTAAAATGTATATATGTTTCTTTTATCTAGCAATCTTACTTGTAACAACTTATCCCAACAAAATAGTAAATATATATTCTGATATTGACTATGAAATGATGCCCATAGTAATGAAACTCAGAATTCATCCAAGTGTTCCATAACAAGGACTTGGTTAAGTACATTATGTTATATCCACATCATCAAACACTGCTGCATTCAGAAAGCTATTATAGGACTAGAATTGGCAAGCTTTTTCTATAAATGTACAAATAGTAAATATTTTCAACTTTAAAGACTACATTGTCTCTGTCTCAATACTTCAGCTCTGCTGTTACAATATAAAATAACCCAGAGATAATATGAAAATAGGCATGGCTGTGTTCCAACACAACTTTATGTATGGACATAGAAATTGGAATTCTATATAATTTTCATTTGCCAAGACATAGCACTTTTCTTTAGATTTTTGCAACTACTTAAAAGTATAAAACCATTCTTAGCTACAGGATGTGCACAAACAAGTGGAGAAAGTGAGATTTGGCCGTAGTCAGTAGTTTACAGAGGAATCCTGGGAGGAAGGTGGGGGTTGCAAATATAGTTTCTGAATCTCTCAAAATGCCACTATAAAAACCATAAGTAGGGCCCTCCCTGGTGGCGCAGTGGGTTAAAACACTGCACTAAGAAGCTTAAGCCGCTTCCCATGAGTGATCCCCGCCTGCCCCGCAGGAGATCCACATGGTGCCACAGACGTCTCCAGACCCACCCGCTGCTCCCCTCAGCAGTGTACTTCGTCGATCTGCCTGTTCTGCTTCCCGCTCTATTCCTGGTGAATCCTCTCACCCTCCGCATCTCTGGCCTGTACCCCAGTTCTGTATAAATAAATGAATCTTAAAAAAAATAAGTAGAAAAATTAGTGGGAAAAGCAAGCCAAAATGCACAGACACAATCTATAAAAATCAGATGATTGTGATCTCCAATGAGCTCAAAGCTATGAGTTAGTAAGGACAAATTAGAGATAGCTACAACAGCAAAATGGTGTCTGTTATAAAAGAGTAGGGAGAGAGAAATCAAGAGGGCATCACATAGATCTGAGAATTCTAAAAAAACTCACTTAAAAACTTAGCAAGCTAAAAAAAAAAGTTAGCAAGCTAATTTATGAACAATTGAGACTAGGAGGAGTTTGTACATTCAAATAGTAACTGTGTTGAAGGAATCCATGATAATAACCTGATAGCTGCCTGAGCTCCAACTCTCAAAATAATCCAAAACTCCCTTCTTCCAGGGCAAAATCCTACTCTATGGAGAAAGAGGTGGGAAGAGATTCCGTCTGGCCAGGATAGGAACAAGAGGAAAAATCCAGATCAAAATAGAGGAGGCAGACAGGTAGGACAGATGTTTTAAAATGGAATTCACTGTAATTGTGAACAGTTGTCAAAAACAGAGGAAGATTGAAGACCACAGACATGAAATTAGGGGGAAAACCATTTTAAATCAGGCTTCCTTCTCAAACTTCATGGAAACTAATTTCATATAAAAATCAGCAAGTGATGGAGAGAATGCAGAGAAAAAGAAACCCTCATACATCACTGGGTGGGAATGTAAATTGGTCCAGCCTCTACAGAAAACACTAAGGAGGTTTCTCAAAATATTAGAAATAGGTCTACCTTGTGATCCAGGAATTCCTCGGTAATTGCCTGAATAATGCAAAAACATGAATTTGAAAAATGCCTGCACTCCTATGTTCACTGCAGCACTATTTACAATAACCAAGTTACAGAAACAACTTGTATTCAATGATGGATGAGTAGATTAAAAAAATGTAGCACATTACATACACAATGGAATACTACACATCTGTATAAAAAATAAACTCATGACCACTTGCAATAGCATGTATGGAATGGTAGGAGATTATGCTAAATGAAATAAGTCAGAAGGATTAAGACAAATAGTGAATGAATTCACTCATATGTGGAACATAATGAAACAAAACAAATTAACAGACAAAAACCAGAACAGACCTTTGAAATCTGACTGCAAAACTGAAGTTACCATATGGAGAGGTGGAGGGAGGGAGCAAAGAATGCAGAGGACCCAGTGGGCTGTGGAGGATGACGATGGGTGCTTTTGGTGGTGGGTGAGGGATGGTAACATACATCTGAAGAGGTATGAAATTGCACCCCTAAATTATATACAATGTTGTAAACTAGCAGTATCTCATAAAAATAATTTAAAAGGAA